TATAACAGGCCTCTGAAAATTCCTGATGCCAATGTTATAAAACTAAAAACAGAAAACGGATAACTGGGGTACAGAGGCAAGCTATGTGAAAAGAGAAATTACAGTGAGAAGGGTGATTTAATTAACGATTGTATGTTCTGTAGAAGGTAGCTCTGTGTATTACTGAGCTTTAAATGAAATTAGATAAAACGAAACATTGCTATTCTTTGCCACGTTTTTGCAAGATCAATGTACATTATCTTGTAATAATTTACCTTACGATTAGAGATGGTGATTATATGTTTCGTACTAACATCGTGAATAATCCTGAGTAGGTTCTCGATGTCTCTAAATTAGCCTTATTACAAAAAGAGTGTGGCCTTGGTTTTACCGAGCAAACCGATGCTTAACGTCGTCAAACCATTATCTTAAATCATCTCACGATGCGTTTTGTTTTTCCTTACATTTTACTGCGCTGGATTTATGGATCCCTGTTATCTTCCACGGGTTTTGAACAAGGGCCACAAACTTACTAATCGTTCTTACAAGTTTCTTTCGGAATGTAGTCTTAAATCCCGGGAACATCTGGTATACCATGCGATGGCACACCAACTCAACACTAAAACACTCTTCAAGATGTTTGTATCTGATTGTTATCATCTCCTATATCCTACTCGTAATCAGTGCTCAAAATATTCATCGACCCATTCCAGTTATAAACTTTCAAAGGCAGATATTATCGCCCCGCATCTCCATAGATTTCTCAAACCACAAACTCGTTGCAGAAAGTCTGTATAAAATACTAATCTAAACCAGTGATAAGCGGTATGGTATGCCATTGTTTTTCTGAATTTCCTGTCCATTTCACTTTTTTCATCGCTGAATTATATTGCTCTTGTTATTGTTGAGAAACTGTGGGTATGTTGTTTCTTAATATTCAAACCTTGGGGTGTATAAAGCGATTCCCCGACTGGTCTGGATTTGGACAGGACCACCGCTCAGAACCGCAAATCTGTCTGGTCGTTTGATCAGCCCAAGTATCAACCACTTCAGGGGCACTTAAATCGGCGAATTTGCACGAACGAGGTCAATAACCGCCCTGGATGCCGGTTTATCTTTTTAGCATACAAGACAACTCTGGGGGGCCTTAACCACAGCACGCTAAACCTCAGTATTTCTATTTCTGGCCCACACCGATCTAACCAACAATTTTATGAAAACAGTAATCGTTCCTTGTTCCGTGAAGCTGAATGTCCTTGTTCATTCGACTCCCAAATTATCTTAGAAGCAGAATTGTAAACAGGTGTAAGGAAAATTGCAGGTTCCGTTCCATAAACATGTCACCATGTTCGTGGTTACCGCATCATCAGAACGGGGGTGGATTGGTTCGATAGACGACACAGTACATACAATCAGCAAACACGTTTTTCGCTGAAATGGTTTTCGAATGGCACAACGGAATCGTTTCTCCACATATGAGCTTACCAATAATCTTGGCTATTTCCGTATAGTGTGCTGTGATATATACCTATGGACGGAGGTGCGAAAGAATCAACAGAGCAGGCTATAGCAACGTGGGCAGTTAATCTGCCTCTAAAAACTGCCGACGATCAAAACATGAGTTATGTAGTTAAATAACTTCATTTTCAGTGTATACCTCAGTCCTAATCCTCATGTACCACATCCCTATTTCCAACCACTCCATGCTCAGTTTTATTTGTAAACAACACACCATCGATCAGTTATATTTACCAATCAAATCAGCACACATCAAACTTTTTCAAATATGATATGCCTGTTACCTATTTATATAATGGTATTAGCCAGAAAATTAAGTTATCGAAAACGAGCTTGTTTGCCATTTCGTGTTAACCTAGTTATGTCGATTTATGGTGGCCAATAACTCGCGTTGTCAAGCTATCGCAATTGTGTTTCCTATCATAAAAAGCTCACCAATTCGTTGTTCCAAAGGGTGCAACTCTACTATAGTTTCGATAGTCGGAGCATGTATTCAGTTTGAGAATATTCTCTCACTTTTTCAACCATGCTATAGAATGCGAATTCTGTGACAAGTGGCACATTCACCAGATGTATGAGATTATATCTTCTCATTTGAATGAAACTGTTAAACCATTTTCCCACGTTCATAGATCAATATTGTGTTATCAGTTGGAATCGGTCTAATTAACAAATCAAGAAATCACATCGTTACGTTTCCTAATTACGGAGGACCCTAAACATAAAATGACTGTAGATTTCACATGCCGATAAGCGGATCATTCATGTTTACCATGTACCCGATCATATTTGTACATACCAATGAAATCGTGCGTGCACAAACGGTAGCAATGGTGTGCTCGGAACAAAAACAAAAAAATCAACATAATCATATCGTATTTGTTCACTATCATTTCCGCTCGAAGAAATCTGTTAATATTTTGAAACACGATTTCTTCCGAATTCTGTCCAATATCGTATTCGGCTTGAGTGCAAAGATAACAACAACAATAACGCAATAAAGAAGGCATTTTGATAGGTCTTCCATCGCGATGGTAGCAGTGACTGACGGAAGAAAACATCAATCCGTATTTCAGCAGGAACGAAACAAACCGGAAATGACCACTGACGGTGATTGTAGCGTTTGTTTTCAACTGTCGGTAACGAAAAAATGAGGATAATTTATTTCCCTATTTTAACATGTTAAGGCTATTTTTCTTCTTGCTCGTAGATTAAATGAAAGTGTTTGTACAGCCGTTTATATGCTCAAAATATAAAATATCCGTCCAATTGTTCGGCCGATCAATTAAACTCAGTAACCATCACCTTCTTCGCTTAGATATGTACAGAATATCATTTGATCAGCTTTTAAAAAATTATGATTGAGTCACAGTGCAAAACCCACCCAAAACACGTGGATTTTACACTTATAAATCCAGTTGAATTGCGGTAACGATGCTGACAGTCTATCGTGCAGCTCAGGAGTCACAGTTTTGATTCTAAATCCTGAGGTTTGTGGTTCGAGTCTGACCAGGGACACAGACGCGGCACGTAATACTGATTAGTCCCCCAAACGACAAAACAGTTATTGTTTGTCATTTATGGAGTTTACACAGGTTTTCATTAGAAATATAAGCATTTGTTAGGCAAACTGTTTCATTCAAATGACATAGAAACAAATGCTTTTGAATGACATTTTAGCGGATACTATATGATGTATAGGCCTATGTTCTCATGTTCTCGTTAAAAGAATATTGATAGGGTGCATGATGCAAACCAGGGAGTGAACTCTAATGTCTGTCAACTGATGGTTGACAGAAACAATTAACCTTCTGGAAAGCAGTGCAGTGCTCGAGCAGTTCACAGAACAGTACAATGCCTGTAGGTCATTTGCATATATGTACTGCCAAAAAGCCGTCAAACGTGCAGAAATCTCGATAACTCCGAAAAACCGTAATTACTCTTTAGTCGCTTTCTATACTAGCAATTACTGCATGTTCATCACAAAAAAATTGGAAGATAACACAAAATCTACTGAAGCATTACATTCTTGATGCGTATTATTTACTGAAATTAATGCAAGTTAAACATGTTATTTTTTACAATTATTGAATGTTCACATTAAACTCACATTTACTTTTGAGTAGTGATTTGAGATTACTGCTAGTGAATTTCAGTTTTTACAACCATTATTCACGCACTTCCGTGCACCGGTTTTGGTTGCCGCCTCGTGGATTCCCATTTTGATCAAGGAGTAATTGGGAGATTGGAATGTTCATATCAGTGTCATAGTGAAAAAAAGAATCCGTGGAGACTGGGTTGGCCAAGAAATTGAGAAGACGCCAGAGCGTCTTTGATTACGACACCCGAATATATCACTGTGTACTCAACCATTGATTAAGCCGATCCCAATGCCCCATCCAAGAAGCCTAACGCACCGCAAATGTCTGAAGTTGACAAATGCTAGCTGACACTTTGTCCGTGATGCGTTCACCGGGTGAGAAAGCAAACTTTCTCTACGTTCTCCATTACTTTTCAGTGATCTTGATGTTGTAAGCTAGACCAACGCAATTCTGTAGAAACATTTTGTACCTTGAAAGTGTTTAAAACTTGATATTCTTCGAACTCCATCCTAACGCACAGTGCTCAGCTCACCGAGTTAAACACAACCTTGGAAACAGTAAACTTGTGTTTCGCTCATCAGTAGCGCACCAACCCTTTCTTGGTTTTGAACTCCGGGCTCATCATATGGAAGGTGTATGTAGCCACATTACCAACCAACTCTTACCAGTGCTGAACCTAATTGCCCATTAATGTGTGCTCGAGTGTTATCTTCAGTACATTTATGAGGGTGGATGTGTACCAATAATGAGCTATAATAAGAGTAAAACCCGAGTAAGTTCTTCGGAATGAACAATTGAATGGATGAACTAAGGATTGCGCTTGAAGTTGAGGTCCAACGGATAGTCAGTTCAAATCGCTTATTGAATGAGAAGATTTTCAACTCATGGGTCTTATTAAGGAGTACTCCGTCATTACGTTTGCCACATCTTTGAACAAAGTGGTTACAATTGTTTGTTTGGTATGGCTATCCCATAAATACCGATGGTTTCACCCCTGTCGTTAATGAAATGTTTGCAACTAAATTGGAAGGTTGCGTTTAACAGACGAAACACATTCAGCCAACTCGAGGAACGATAACCAATTTTCGATGCACTGCCAACGATTGAAAACTGTTGGAATCACATTTCCAACATGAAATCAAGTTGCTTACATACATTTATTTTGTCCGAAAAACAACAATGGGAACATCCAATTGGCATTCCTCAAGTAGAGCCTCGTGAGTAGCACGATCATACCAAATTAGCCAAATGTTCAAAATAGGATTAACGAAACAAAAAGACAGACTAGACGTTTGTGTAGTTTAGACGGATAACAATAACATGAAAATCGATAGATAAATATCTTTTACGTACCGCTTGTTTATATTCCAAGAATTCTTTAATCAGCTTCATTCCCGCCTCGCGATCGGCCGCTTTCACTTCACGCAATGACTCCCGTAAACATGTCTCCTCTAACGTTCGTTTCTGATACTCCTCCAGACCGAACTGGAACACCATGCGACAAGAGTCCTGTAGTTTTTCACGATACGTGCATTGAAACATATCTATTGAGTTAAGGCTTACGCTTACTGGTAACCCGCAATGACTTGATAAAGGTCGTCATACAAATATGCATCTATTGCGCCGTGATGAGGGACACACTTTGCGGTTTGTTTCAGCACACACAAAGAAACGGCCACGAAGGTTGGATTGGGTATCACGAAAAGCCGAAACATATCGGTCGACAACAGTCAACCTCGGCGAGCTATTTATTTGCGCTCTGATGATGAACTTACTACAGATTAGAAAGATGCTCTCCATTGAATTCTGTCAACCTGAGTTCTCCACCGAGATCCCATGTCCAGCATTGACTTTCGCGTGTACGACTTATATGAAATGCATTTTTCCCATCATTTTCAATGAATATTGATAAATAAATGAGTTACGTAAACCTTTACCTGTAGAGTGGTTGACAAGCTAATGGAAAGATCCTTCACGCGAATTATTGTCCAATCCATGAGCATATGTTTCGTTGCTTCACAAATCAGGTTGATTCATCTTCTAATTCATCCTTCCAATGAGGATAATATTGATTAAATACTGAGATGTCCCATTTGATAAACGCTTTATAGAATAAACAATCTTACTGTTCAGCTATAGTCTGCTTGACCAGACCATGAAGTGTTACAGCTATTGTAAACGACTGTTAGTGGAAATAGCAAGGAAATGAATGAACTGAAATGGGTGGAAAAAGCAGCTACCTGTTTCAGTCGATGAACACAGAACTGCTAAACAACCTGACTGAAAAAAAGGAGCCATGTGAATTTCACTTATTTTCACTCCCAATGCGTTGCTACTCAGAAAGGAATGTGAATGCATTTGGTTTAAAGTGTTATGTTCTAACAAGTAGCAATATCCAGTTTTGCATTTTGCCCAGTCCAGTCCATACAAAATTTGACGGCATGCTTCTGATGAAAATTACAGAAAAGGATATTGATCGACCACTTCGACCACAAGAGGTAAAGATAAGAATCGTTGACCGTCTGGATCTGCTTTCATAATGGCATGATACAAATTGTCCCCTTCTAGTTCGTCAACAAATGCGTTTGCGTGTTGTAACTGTTGTTGTTTTCGTTTCTCCCAACTCTCCTCTTCCTCTTCATCTTCGTGTTGTGCCTCGTTCAGTTGATCTACAGTAATTTGATACTTCTGATAGGCGGCTGAGCGCTAAAACATTCAGGAACAGTGTGCGTGTGTCAAATGAAGTCGCAAGCACAGCGATATCCGCAAACGAACACACACAGAGACCTAAATGAGTATTTGTGACACTTATTCATTGTGGGAGAGAACACAGTGATAAACGAATCCGCGTTCATGTCATTATTGCACACAGTAAACAAAGTGAAAAACAAAATCCCCTGAAGACACTTTTGAGGCAAATCAATCGATTGTTTGTCCTGTAGTGCAGATCCAAGTGCAGATCTAAGATCATCACTACTATTTATGGTCATAGGGATATATTCCAACTACTCTTTTTGGCTACTCTGGGAAGTGCACTTATAATTAGATTTCAGTGGTAATCCACATAGCAGAGAGTTGAGAGTGACCGTTTAATTCGGATGAGAGTACATGGTGTTTTAATATTATTGTCCATGGTAGATTAACATAATGCGATAAAGTCGTGAGCTTTTTCTCCCTTGATTAAGTGACTATTTTTTATAAATGTGTTTTGGTTATCCCGCATTTTAAGACAAGGTTTTCAAATGTGTCCTATCATTTAAAATAACATCATATCCAATTGTGCAATTACTTAATCGCAATTTGAAAAAGCATAAATTTTCACTCTTTTCTTCCCAAATTTTCACCCAGATAATGCGCATTAAACCAATACAGATTATTAAACAGGGAGCACGCAATTCGCTTCTCGATAAAACTTAATGTAAAGAAAGTTATAGTCAAATCAAAGTTGTATACGAAAACAGTTAAAATTGTTATCATATCACGTATTTATCCGACAAACAAAACTAAAGTATGCTTTTATTTTAACCAGGGTGATACATCTTGAATAATTCAATAATTTATGGTTCATTTATTCCCTAAAGTACTTTAAGTACCTTGGCTTACAGTGATTTATTATACTGATTGTACTCAACACAAACATTGCATCTCATATTTGGCGTTTTCCAACTCACTGTGAATCTGGTAAATGACTAAAGAAAACAAATTGTTACATTGATGCATTATATATCGAATTTAATGATTTTGTTTTTAACTCACTGATCTTCCGTTGTCCTCACCTTTTATCGTATTTATTTTTCAATCACAGACGAGTTGACTGAGAATTGGACTTTCAATTTGCCCCCCCCCCTCTTGCGCTCCAAGGAAGATATACCCACTGACTGTATTGATACAATTCCTCATAGCAACACAAGTATATTTATTACTCATCACATCCAGTTGACTATCAATATCCCGTTTTTTTCTTCATCTATAAATCAGGTAAGCGCAGACCAACCGAGAACTCGAAACTGTTTACATAAGGCCCTCAACACTATCCATCAAGGAAGTTAATCCGCAACCCATTGTACAACGGGATACCTCCATTAATCAGTGGCCTTTGGAAAAGAGCAAACGTGAATACACCACTCATATTATATTTAAACTGAGGATGGATGAACACGAGAGAATTCAACAGAACAACCAGCTGATTTTGCTTACCTTCAATTAAACAGTGGTTGAACTAAACTGGGAAATGCATTAGGTCTTCCCAAGCCGTTTTATCAAATTTTTAGTAAATGCAAGCAATTGCAAACATTAAATTTTCGATGTTTTGTGAAGTGAACATTCTACCCGGAATGGATGCTTTCATTAAATAACTGCTATGTTCATTTTGGAAATCCCGAAACAGTTACTAACAGTTTGCAAGTAAGTGAAACAAAGAAAAGATTTCTCGAGACCAAGAAAATAGCTTTTTGCCGGTTGTTGTAGTCTACTTTTCCTCATAATTGTTACGACTGATTAATCCGAAGCGAACAATTATTTTTGACTCACCTTGAGTCTTCTACTTTCCTATAATACAATCAATGTAGACATTCTTTGAATCGAACCACATGAGTAACTTCCTTCGGTGTGTCATTAGGATTATTTTCGTTCCCTCAACGGAACTTCTGAGGTTTATACATTATCAAGATAATCATTGATTAGTTGAACTGAACGAATGAATTATACGTTCTCCGAACTGACCGCGAATTCGGATTGTCTTGTGACACAATACTCTTCAAAGACGGAACAATTAAATAAAAGCAGTCACAAACCTCAAACCACAAATGTTTAACTGTGTATTAACATATTTTCAAGAGTAATTGGGTTATGTTGTGTTTTGGGATAGAACAAAGATACTCTTCGGTCACACACGGCACCTCGCAGGTAGATCGCAACCATACTACACATTTCTACATGTACTTGGATAGCTGATTAGGCAGTTTTGTTGTATTTTGGAACTATACATACCTTTGAGAGTCCCGGTTTCAATAGATCACTATGGGAGGGGGGAATAAAGCATTCCAGTATATCCACTCTTGTTGGCGGTAAGAAATCACTGTGCACTACAACGAACGTCTAGTCTTCTTATCAACTTGGAGCCGTTTTGCATTAACATCATGTTGAAATGTGGCAAAAGCAAGTCTACTCGTTATTCGTTACATGTATTGTCTGTCTGTACTCACCATATCTTCCCGGATTCTTTTGTAATCCAAATACTGTAATCCCGAGAGTAATGCGTAAATGTACATGTGATAGTTTGGTTCCTGGAATAGCGGATTTCCTTCCAGGGTTAGCGACTTCAAATTGTGAAACTGACGCAGGTATAACACCTGAAATGCATATGATTTTCAACGGGTGATGATTTGATCTGAATCGGTCCTACATTTTCAAGGTCCGCGATTTGATTTCGACCCAGTGACAAGTATTTCAGTGACTTCAATTCGTCCATTCCCTCGATACGGGATATTTGATTGTTGAACAAACTGATATCCTCGAGCTTTGTCAAATTTTCCAAGTTTTCAATTTTTTGTATACGGTTGCATGATAAGTCTTCAACCGAAAAACAATGATTATTTGAGACACGTTATGAACAACTGCACAGCGTGATAAGTATGCATGCACTGTCGAAGTAAAGCCTTGACTAAATTAAATGCTTTCAGATGATTTTCAGAGAACACTAGATATAACCGGTATATTGTGTTGTGTAAAAATACAACTGTTCGATCAATAAAGGAACTATAGTGTATAACGATCCATTTGGTTTGGCTATTTAAAGCTCGACTGTTTGAAGGTTTTAAGGAGGAATAGACAAAAGCAATGAAGTGGAGCACAACTTGATAAACGGTGAAAAACGTATCAGTGAAATCACCAGTACAGTAGACAGATGACATCATTCTATGTTGATGACTGTTCAATGAAAAGGGTCTCAAATAAGAAATGGATAAACCTGCAGGCAGCTGCAACTCGACACAAACCTCTCTAGTAGCAACAGAAAAACAACAATGAAGGCTGGTGTGGAAAATTACAAATTTATCAAATAATCAGGATAATGGCTACTGCATACTAAGATGAAGTGACGAGAACGTTTTCATGGACTAAAGAATGCTTAAAAGGACGGCAAAGAGGAATCCCACTTTTGATGTCTAAATCCAGAGTGATCGAAAGTAGAGTGTAAATGCGAGCAAGGGAATATGGAAAGGTGATAAAAAAGATTGTAGTTTCGGAACTAGCGATGGTAGTCAAAAGTATGGAAAAGAAACAACACAGCTAAAATTGCCCAAAAGACAACTACCGTTCATTCCATTATTCCAAACACATCTTTGATTGCTTGGATGTTGTGTGCTAACTAAATTTAGTATTTCATCAAAAACTACATAAGATGTGTTCAGTATAATAAATTTGATCCGTAATTGAAAATGGAAGAAACCGCGTTATTGCTACCCAGTTTATAAAGAAAATGTCAACTTTTCAAATTTCTAAGTTCTACCTAAAAATAATTAAGATCGACGGAGTAATGTTGCAGTCGATGAGAGCCGGAGAAAACAAAAATTGTTCTAGTATATTCACAGTCCTGCTCTTGTTTTTAGTTACTAGTTTATTTACTGTTATTTTTGAATATTGAACTTTCCGTCGCATCGAAAGGAATGAAAAGAATCTCGACAAGCGCAGCTGTCAATGATCTTTTCTGGTAGATATGATTGGGGTAGAAAGGTGCGCAGCTCATGATTCGTCTTCCTGTTAAACTTGGCTTCGTGTTTAAAACTTTGCTTGAGGAAAACACACATCACCAATGAAAAGCTGAACCGTTCAAGTATATATAAACTATGATGTGTGCAGATTTAATATTTGTTGATGTGCAGGGCTTGAGCCGATCGATGGTTCGAATCACTGAGCGAGGTCAGCACTTTTATGAAAGACAATTGAATCGTCATCCAAATTGTGGAACGATGATCGCAGACTTTTAGACATCAAAGTTTCTGAAGAGCATTACTTTAAAAACGTAAGGTGTTTTGTGCTTATCCTTGGAAGTTTTTATGGTATATTTGATGTTCAATTTATTCATGCTACCAGTTTAAGAAATAAGCAATGCAAAATGTGATACGTGACACATGATACAAAAAATTCGGTTTCTTCCAAATGTTCATTTACGTGGGTTCAGTTGTATTGTATTTAAATCTCATCGGAGCTAATCCATCAAACGAAAAACGGAGTACCGGAAGGTCTAAGGTGAGCAAATTAATATCATTGATTGTCTAGGTATCTGAATCGACCGTGCGCCCCTCGATTGGCTGCGCTACACTTACGCGCTCTCCGTCACATTGTGGGAATTTTCACCTTTTCACTCATTATCAAGCACCGTCGTTACTCATGGGATGATATTATTTGTTTCAAACGTACCAGAACATGCTTTGATGGTTCAGCGGTTTGTTCGACTCCATTTTCTCACTGTCCAGGCTGGACCAAAATACGCCAGCGTGCAGGATGGCAAGTTGCTCCTAAATGCACCCCTCTGTCAAAGATGATCGTCCCCTCATTGATCAGCATCAGCACTCGGTACCTGTTTCCCAAAATGTCGGATTTAACTAGTGTCCTCCGATGAAGAATTCATACGAACACATGTGCAGTTTGTGTTCAAGAATCCTGGTTGAATGAGGACGTAGATGACTCTCTAGTGTCAATAGACGTTTTTCACTTTTACCGGTAGGATCGTGTGGCAAGTCACATGTTATTTATCAGTACTGCTCAAAATGTATTGAGTGCCTAATTATACAGTGTCACCCTAGATTTTCCCGTTTTACTCACACAATTTTTGAATAACTTGTATATAGCTCCCTCCTGTACACAGTCCGCTCGTATGTTATTTTTCGACTTGTTCATACCTTTTGTTGCTCCACATTTAGATGTTACCTGCACATAATCGTTGGTGTCTTCAGTCATACTAGCACTTATCCACTTTTATCATTGGGTATGACAAATCTTTGTCACTCTCCCACAAGAGGTAACTCTATACTGGATAGAGTGATTACCAACCACTCAACACTTTTTTCCTTAGCACTAAAAACTCCTATTTCTTCCAGCGACCATTGCTTGCTCTTAGTTCTACGTAAAGTTTATTCACACAGTACATACAAATCTTTCTCCCGATCCGAGCACATCAGATTTTGTTTTGGTAACTTCTCACCAACGCGTGTTTCTCTCCTGAATGAATCTCTCAGACAGGCCTCCCGATGGTTTTCGTCATCTTCTCTGCTCACATGTGTCCCTCTGTTCACCCAAACAATCAATACCATTTTTAATTACTGCTGTCCGGTTCAAAGTCTCTACGTATCCAATGGAAGGATAAACTGTCCCCTACTAAAGTCACTGCGACGACAAAAGAAACATGTGTACAACTCTCACAATGCTTCAGCTGTCAGGTATTTGTTCAGACTTATCAAAGCTGAAGTAAATAGATTGAACGCATTATTCTTTGATCGAATTCTCAGGACTGGAAACAGCAAACACCTGTGGCAAGATATAAAACTTCTCTGCGGAAGAAAGAACGTACGGTTGAAGCTGGATGTGGATGGCGATGATCTCAATACCGCATTCCTGCGCCAGTCATCGGACATTCTTCTTGCCTACTCGTCACAAAATGTTTGTAACGTGGAACCACTCTCATATTGTGATGTGTTAAAACTTTTAAAAAGTTTCAAGTCATCTGCTGCAGGCCCGGATGACTTACATTCAGCCTTCTTCAAATTTGGTGCTGCTTCCCTAGCTGGGGTCATTGCCTCCATTGTGAACGAATCTCTTCGCACTTCTACTATCCCAGACCGATAGAGGCCCGTCGCAATTATACCAATCCCCGAAACATCCAAATATTTTATCCTTTGCAACCTTTTTCTCCCATAGCATTAAAATCCTCAGCTCTTTAACTTGACTGAAAATGCCATCATCAAACGCCTTCAGCAGTCTGTAAACATTCTCAGTGATCTGTTACAGTTTGATTACAAGCCTAATAGATCTACCTTCGACGCGATCTCCATGCTCAATCATTTCATCACTAAATCTTCGAACAGCTCTGTTAAGTCTGTTTGGTGTGTTTTTCTCGACTGCTCTTCTGTATGTGAGTCCATTACTCGATCTCAGTTGTTACAAAAACTGGAATCGTTTGAATGTTCCAAGCAGTTGTTAGCTTGGCTATTCAACTATTTTACTCATAGAGTACAAACCACTAGATTGGAGAAGGCCACATCAAAACCCTTAGTCAACAACTCCGGGGTCGTTCAAGGAGCTGTGCTATCCCTATACTTATTTTCCACTTATATTTGTGATATCCCTGTGTTTCTCCCGCACGAATTTTGAAATATGCAGATGATGTCGTGT